CCTGCTACTGTCGTTTTTCGATGAGTTTTTTGCAGTTTCTTTAATAACTCTGCTATTATTTTGCAAATAAACTTTTCTTTTGCAAGTCTAATGCTTTTCTTGTTGCTGCTTCTTTTTGTTTAGAGCTATTTGAGATGTTTTTTATTAATAATTTTGCTAAAATCTTCTTTTTTCTTTAGCTATTTTTTGTGTCCGAATGATCGACGAGAAGAGTTGTTGTTTTGATTAGCGAATATTTTGTTGTATAAAGCTAATATATTCAACTTTGTTGTTTACTTAATAAGAAACCTTGGCTTTTATTGACTACTTTTTTGATAGTTTCAGAGTACTCTTTAAACTATTATTACAAGGTTGTAATTTTTTTTAACTCTATTTTAATATTCAACAATATGTATACAATATTTCAGAAAGATTTTTATAAAGTTTAATATATTAACTATATTATTTTTTTGTAGTTTAGCTTTTTGAAAAGTTTGGTTTAAGTAATTGTCAGAAAGAGTGTAAATATTAGTTTTTAATATTCTTCTATATATATATAATAATATATTTTATATAAATACCTTAAACTCTCATTTGAAATAATATAACTTAAGGTTACAGTTATACTAATTTAATTAATTGTTTTTTTTTGTTTTTTTTTATTTTATTTTATTTATTAAGGCTAATGTTAATAGTGACTAATGCTTTTATTTATGTTTTTAGTTAATACAATATATTATTTATACAGAATAAATGTACAACTAGCCATATATATAACTTTTAGTTACCTATTTAAGTAATTTACCTAAGAGTTTTACACTAGCTGCCATACTTATAATCTACTAAGAGGCTATCTAATTAAACACTTTAGTTTCTATACTGCACTCAGACAATTAGCTATCTTAGTTTTTGTATATCTAAATGCTAGTTAATCTAATATTTTGTCTCTTTTTTGTATATCTGTTAAGTTATTATCTAATTTTAAAGCATATAACATGACTGTAAGGCTCAGAGAGCCCTTCTGTTAACTACCTATTCACTCTATAGAATATTAACAGAGCTTATTCTTGCAGAATTCACTTAGATCCTAGTATTTACTTTATAGCATATTCCTAGTACTTTAGTATACTTTTATCTTTTCTTAAACTTTCAATTCAGATAGCCTGATAAAACTATGACCAGTCTATTGATATATCAGATCAGTCTAATATTCTTTTTCTTTGATTCTTTTAGTTGGAATTCTAATAGCATAGTTGATGATACCTTCTATCTAGAGGTTTTTGTTTATCTAGATACTTTATATTGATATCTGTTTCCTAGATCTAGCCTTTATAGTAGTATTGTCAAAGATCTGTATTATTTTTCTATTTGGGTCTTTTCAAATAGACTTCTTGTTTCCTAATTTTTATAAATTTATACAGTCACAAGAACTTATTTTGAATTTGTATCACCTAATGCCGATTTGCATTTTTCTGTATAATCAGTTATACAGATGCCCTATAATCTGCCAGTTATGCTAATACAACTATAATTACAAATATCTTAACTCAATTATTAAAAACAGTTATTAAAGGTTTCCTCCAACCTATCCTAGCTAGAAAATAATTTGAAACAATTATCTATAGCACTTATTAGGAAATAGGAGATATAATGTCACATTGGGTGTCTATTTTTTAGCAACACAAATGTAGTTTAGAAATCTTTATTTTAGGAATTTTTTTCTGTAATTAAATTTCTTATTGTATTTTAAAGTTTCTACTATGATATTATATAAATAAAAAAAAAAACAAAAAAAAAACAGTTATTATAATACAAATATTACATAAATACTTATCTAAATTTTTATTTTTCATAGATTTTGCACTCACAACCTACCACTTGGAAAGTTACAACTTAACTACTTCCAACTTAACCACTTCACTAAGTCATCACATCTTTTTAATCAATTTTTAAAAAACAGTTTACTATAATACAGATATAATTTTTAAATTTTTTCATAAATAGAATTTAAACACTAAACCTGCTATTTGGATTAATAACTTACTAATTACTTCAAGTTGTTACACTTATAAAATATATACAATCAACCTATTATAAATGCATTCTTTATAAATGCATATACTATGTATGTTTTTTCTAAATACATATTAATCTTCAATATAAAGTATTTAATAAAATACTCTTTATAAATGTATATCTTTTCTAATTATAGTCTCAAAAAGAATACATTTACAACAAGTTGACTTTAAGACAAGTAACCTATATGAACAAGAACCTCTAAATAGGTAATACTACTAATCTGATTATTGGTTGATCTAAACATAAAATCACATTATACATAATTAACTAGATTGGTAATATAGAAAAATTAAAAATATATAAACTTTACAAAAGTTAGATACTAAAACATTTAAAAATAAATTATAAAAGATCAAATAAGTACTATCTTCAAGAATAAAGTAATCTTAAAAGTTAAAGATAAGAACCCAAGCTATAGAAGAATGAACACTCTTGTAATCTAAGAAGTTAATACTAAAATATAGAAACAGAAGGTTTAAAATAATGAAAAAACCTTTAAACAAACTCCTTAAATAGGTAATATAAAAAAGTTACATATGTAACCAGTTATACTCTCGTTCTATGATAATTAACAATTTCTTTGTCCCAACATATTAAAAAAGTCAAAACTAAAGAGAGTCACCTTAATACCAAAAAAAAAAAAAAAATTTTTTAAAACTTCAAAACATATATAATTTTGTCTTCTAAACAATGTTACTTAAAGCATTATATAACTATTACATCTTTGAAAATAAATAAAACTCAATAAAACCTGACTTTCAATATAACGGAAATAAAATCTTAATACGACGGATCAAGTGTGCATTTATAAAGTGCAGTTATTAAGATTTAACTGTATTACATTTTAATATAAAAACATTTTATTATTAAGTTCTATGAAAACCCTTATGATTCGCAATAAGCAACCTTTTTATACAGATCTTCCATTAATGCAAAAAAACAATTTCTTATAATAAGAAAATGGATCAATAGTTGCGTATAGGTATAGTAAATGTATAAAGTTAACATTCTAATTTAGAAGACAATTATTGCGCAAACCGTAAAAAGATTTACATAACAATAACACGTAAATCGATCATGCAATTATAGGTGCTGCTGTACAATTTATAAAATCTTACGAAAAGTCATTTTCAATTGTCGCATTTCTCATATGCTCAAACGCCTTTACCATTTCAATCACATTCAGAATACATGGATTGATGTCCGGTGTAATAACTATAGTCTCCATAGTAACAAGAAATGTCGATATTTGCGGTTGATACTGTATAATATAAAAACAATGTTTAAAATATTACATAAAAATATAATATAGCATTCTATTAACACTTGCCGTTCTTGCAATTTCTTTGAAAAATCCATATGCCCACCAAAACCATAATTGTAACATAGGGTCGGTAATTCCTTGACTCTCATAAGTTTTCAACTTACTATCGAGCAAGTTAACAAACATTTGAGCCATCTTTAATAAAACTTCCTTCTGTTCTCTGGTAACCGCATTTAGTGTATTCTCAACTGTGTGCAACTCCTGATTATTGATCTTTTTATCCTCTTAAGATTTATTAAGAAAGATTTAGGCCTTAAATTGACAATACAAATAATGGTCTAACAAGAAAAAATAATCACCTTCAGATGTAATGTCTATCCCTTGACCGCCAACTTCCGATTGTGGGTTTAATACCGTTTCCCTTTTACTTGTTACTTGCTTTACACGTGATATAACCTTGTTAATAGTGTTTTTCATAATTTCCCACATGTATGATCTTAGATTCCATATTTGGAAAATTAATGAGTTAAATTTGGTACAATAAAAAAAGTACAAAGTCAATATTACCTTGCAATGTCTTTTTCCATCTCATCCGTGAACAGCCATGATATTACAGAAATGGCATCGATTACACGATAATTTAGTAATTTATCGAGTAATATTCCCAAGAACTATGTATATACAATAATGTCAATTGCTAGTTAATTTTAGCAAAAAAGGTGTTTGAATATTAATGAATATTTACTTGTGTGTTATTCACCCAGAATTCTGCAACTATCTTTACGGTATGTAATCTTGCCTCAGGTGTCTCATTCAAAGATTGCAGAATCAGTAAATACCTGCCATGGAATAAAACAGTGATCTGAACCTTTAGTCTGAAGTAGTAATATAGTATGTGGAAGAACATATTTATTACCTCTCGATTACGTTTAACACATGACTAAAGCTCTTACTGCCTAGCATCAGCACACATTGTACAAACAAATCACGAATTGCTTGTTCTTTTTCTTTTGCGGGCAAGTCAGGAAAATTCTTGCCTACCTCTTCCAGATGTGCCTGTATCTCACTGTTAGAGCTTTTGTTTCGAAGCTTACTTATCAGGCTTGCCGCAAAATTGTTTAGATAGTGATCTACAAAGCAAGTACATAAATTTACACGAAGACTCTTTCAAAAAGAATAATGAATCTTATGCATACCGGGATCTTCGTAACGAAAATTCGTAGTTGGCTCAGCTGTCGGAAATAAAACTAAAAATTCTTCCGGTATTGTAGATCTGATCCGATCGTAATAACTATAACGTATGGTCTTTTCTAAAGTTTCTCGTATGAAACATACTTTTGGATGCAATGGGTCCAATTGTAAAGTTGTCTCCCTGCAATTCGAAAAAAAATGTCTTAAGGATATGCCATTTAAGGTGATTATAGCTAATCAATAATGTGAATTCCTACCAATCTTTCCAGTTCCACACAAATCCAAAGTTACTAAGGTGATGAGCAAACCAATTCCAAAATCTGTAGCAACATTCAACATCCATAAAACTAAGACGATCAAATAAAATTCCTATGGCTTTACCGAGGTAAAGAGAGCCATCCACAACTTAAGGAATTAATATATGGCCTAAGTCAAATATTTATAATATAAAAGCGTCAAGTATAACAAAGGATATGATAGGTGGAAATGACTCATGCATGCTCTTGCATATTTCAGTCAAAAGCGAGTGATAAAATATGGGCTTAAATCTAGGTTGCGGTAAGCGAAAGATATGACTAAATATCTCCTATATAATTATTTGTAAACCTTGATTGATATTATTTCCCACCAAATATGACAAGAAATGAAATAGGCTAAATAATTTTATTTACCTCAACTATTATCTGCTCAAGTTTAAACCCCACAATTCCTTGATTCGAAATTGAACTTGCGTTAACTTCTTTAGAATCTTCAACTCCCCAATTATTGGAAAATGTGTCCATATTTGGCTCAATTTTTATATCGAGCTCATCTTTCACTTTTGTTTCGGATTTTGTTATTGAAGTAGTAGTGTCTTTTTCAACAAACGTGCCAGATGCAAAATTATACGCAAGATCTTTTAAGTACTTTGTGCATTCTTTACGATTTATCTCATATATTTCAATAATATCATCAATAGCATCACGAATAAGAAAATATGAAATGTCCGTCGTTTTATGGGAGTCAACTATTGCCTGTGGACAGTACATTTTGAATAAACAAACGTAGTATTAAATAATTTTTTTTATGCCAAAAAAAAAACTATTTCACAAACCTCATCTTCTAGACCGACAAAAACCCTAAACAATGGAACCGGTAGTGTGTTGCATAATTGGTGTGAATGTTCTTTAACTATGAATTTATCTACTTCGTGCTATTAATTTAAAATAGTTAATTTTGTTCAACGACGAATCAAGTTCTATTCATTTATGAAAAACCTCACCTGGTCTGAAGTTACTAAAACACTATCATAATCTGACCAAGGTTTTAAAAGAACTTGGCACTAACAAATGTAAAAAAAAACAATATTAAAAAATTTCTTAATAAGTAGAAGTGCATGGAAATAATGAAACTAACCTCCCAGCCATTACGCTTTAGGCTTTGAATCTGCGACCACAATATATCTAGAGTCTTCACAACCAAAAAATAAATTAATCAGGTGAATAAAAAACAAAATCTGTTTTATTAGAATAATGACATCAATCACGACAAGCTCAAAGTTTAAATTCAAGAACGCGAGCCTATCTAATAACTGGTTCTCATTTTAACCATATTACGCGATAAAATATGTGTTATTGTGTGCCTTAACTTGATAGTGCCTTTTCATTGAATAGTTTAGATAATAAAAAAAATACTGACATCAGCTTGATCATATGGTAAATTGGATCCTATGTACGGCATGACGGAATGAAGAACAACAGAACCACCAATTTCTGCAATAGCTCGATCTCTAGACTCGAAATATCGTTCAATTTTCGATAGTATGCTGTCCAACATTTCTGGACTTCTTTCGCGAAGCTGCAATGCTACCTACATATGAATTAAACGTTAGTATTATTAAATATAAAGCTGCTACAATTGTTATAACCAGTATTGGCATTTTGGCAAATTTCATCTGCATCAGTCCATTGAGAACTTCCAGTATTAAAATTTACTAATTTACTAATAGATTTTTTTTTTTCTTTGTCTAACGTGTATACTTAAATCATTATTTATAAATTAAAAAAATGCACCGCTGCTCTGTTTATAGTGAATGTTCCACTGTGCCAACTAGAGTTAATACTTCAATCCAGATATAAATCTATCCGATTGACATTTTGTCATAAAATTATAACAAACCATAGTAATTTAAATCCGGATATAAAAACATAGTGAAGTATTAACTCTAGTGCCAACATTGATTATAACTTATCTTAAATAAAGTAATTAGACTTACAAAAGGTAAGGTAGATAATACAATATATACTATCGTATCGGCACGATACTACATAAAAGTATATGAAAGTTAAATAATAATGATTTGGTGTCAAATTATAATAAATACATACCAACTTAACATTTGGCTCATCAAGTGTAGTTAACAAATCATCATATATGTCTAGCATGGTTCTTGGTAATATGACATTAGCATTTGTCAATTCAGCAAAGAATTTTAACTACCAAAAAACACACAATAATATAAATGAGATAAATAAGAGTTAAAATGTTTTGTACTAAAAGGTGAAACATCTTACTGCAAATTTTGCCCCACGCCAATTTCCCTCATTCAAACATTGCTGTAGCGTTTGTGCTGTCATTTTTACTATTGCAGAGCCGATATCAGGTCGTTTGACATTCACAAGACCAACGAGGGTACCATATATAAATGTTTTCATTGGTAATTCCATGAGGCTTAATAATTAATGCAATATGTGAATAATTTAAGCATCACACTAGGTAATCAAATGTGTATAAAAAGATTCAAACCAATTTTTTATTGTCTTCAATACGAGAGGCTCATATTTAGAATACTCAGTTTGAACAATTTCGGCAATTTTTTCAATATTCTTATGTATTTCTTGGGGAGTCATCTAAAAAAAATAATTACATTATCAATTGCTTATCAACATACGCCAATCATTACATTCAAAAAATGTGTTGATAATATACTTTATCACCCAAAATGATTAAAAGAGTCGATAGTCTTTTCTCAGGACTGTCGTCCGTAGCTTGTTCCTGAGATTCACTATAACTTCTACCACGTTCTCGTTGTTTTCGATCGCGTCCACCATTTCCTCGGCGTTCGTCGTCTGTGAAAAAGTATAATGCAGTAAATTTACAGCATATATTGCTTTACGACGTACTTATAGCATGAAATTTCAAAAAACACAGTCTCATGAACCGTACCTCTGTATCTTTTCTTACCAATGGCTTATGATTGACGTGTGGTTTGTTTTGAAGGTGAATTTGATTGTATAAATAACAATTTATAAATAAGCGCGAATAATAAAAAAAATAATTTAGTTATGTCTTACTATCAGCCCGGCGGCTTCCTCCACTTTCATCCGGTGATCGCTCCATTGAACAAAATAATACGGTAATGTGCAAACTTGAGTTGAAATACTGAAAATCAATTTATAATTGAATTGTCATCTAGTTGGTTGATACCATCATCAAGAACATGATTTTTTGTGGTACAGAAAAAACCTTACAACCCCAAAATTTATATTATTTATGTTTTTTAGTACTTCGACCTGCTAATGCATAGTCTGCCGCAGGGGTACCGAAAATTGAATTGCAAGCAAACAATTGCAAACAATTAATTGCAAATAATTTCAAAAGAATTTTGGTATTTTGCAATAATTAAAAAATTAATAAAACTAAAAAAATAATTTCAAAATACTTTGAAATATTCAAAAGAATTTAAAACTTTTAAAATAATTTTAAAATATATTGAAAGTTATAAAATAATTTTATTAATAAATTTATTTTATATATATATTTTTTTGCTTTTACTAAGGCTGTTAGTTACCAGTAACTACTGTTTTTAATATAGTTATATAACTTGTACAAGATAAGTATACAACTAGTCATATATACAGTTTTTGGTTATCTATTTAATTAGTTTGCTCACAGGTTCTATACTAACTGTTATACCTTAATCTGTTAGAAGATTACCTAATTAAATATACTAATTCTTATAATAACCTGACAAGTTCTTATACATCTAATTGCTGTCTAACTTAAGAATAGAGTATACTATTTTAAAATTATATATAAACTTAGTGGTAATTCTTTTTTATATTTAAATTTATAAAAAATTATATTAAGTAAACTAATTTGAATTATTAAGTAAAAATTGTAGAGTAGGTCTTTCTGATTCTAATGATAGCAAAATTATTAAAATTGAGTAAAAACTCATTAAGATATTTATTTTTAAACATTAGAATAGAAAATTATGTAATAAAATTTTTTTTTTTGTTTTTATTAAGGTCATGATTATCAGCAGCTACTGCTTTTACTATATTTTAATTATAATTACATAATTTGTATGCATTTACTAATTTCTTTCTACAGTTCTAATTGAAGGTATGAAATCTTATTGCTAATTGGTCAAAATCAATTCAGTACTAAGTAACTTTCTTTCTTAACCTGAGACATGTTCTAATAATTGATCAGCAATTTTTTTTTTTTTAACTATCTTGCTTATTATTGGATCTGTATTCTCTTTATTTACTAATACCTATTCTCACTTTCTTCTGTTTTGTAATATCTTTTTGATCTTAGCTCTTATCACTATAATCTTTATTTTTTGTATTTGAAACTTAGCTCAAACTGCTTTATTCATTTGATTACTTAAAATTTTCTGTTCAATTTTAGTGAACTATTTTGTTTTTTATTCTTTTTGTATACTTGTTTATAGTACTTTAAATTTTTTTTCTGTGATTATTCTTTTGCTTTCTTAATTAATTAGTTGTTATACAAAAAACAGTTTGTACTTTACTATCATTCTATATGCTATTCTAAATATTTTATTTTTCACCAAACTATGTACAGTTTTATCTATATCAAAAACTTGCCAAAGGCCACCTTCTGCTCTTATTATTATACCTATTTTACTTGCCTTTGGCAATACTAAACATGCCAAGTTTCTCTTTCAGATCTTTTTTAAACTATTTGCATTTGCTGTATTTAATTCTTCTAATATCAATCTCATTAGAACATAGTTTTGTTTCATATATATTTTTGTTATTTTACTATTCTAATCTGGTTTATTTAGTCTTTTTTGTATAGAAATCAACTGACTGTTAAGAATCTTTTGATTCAGTATTTTACATATTTCTAAATTTTGATATGCAATTATGCTATTTTTTTGCAATTGTTAGCAAATCTATTTTGTTTTTAATCAGTATTCCTTAATCTGTAAGCTTTTTTAGGCAAATTTGTCTGGAAAATTGTTAAAAATATGCTTATGATTTACATTTTTTAAATTTTAAAATATTTAAATAAAATTTTATTTGATAATATTTGAAAATAA